TATAACTAAATAACTTACAAGTTTAAGAACTCTTTACAGAGTATAAAAAGATAAGTTTTATAAAATTACTAACTTTTACTATATAAATTTTTTCTTTTAAAAAGAAAAAACCAACAAGAAAGACTAAATTACAGTAAGCTTTTGAAAGCTTAATATTAATCTCACAAAGCTTTTAGCCAGGTCAGTTTAGGTTAACACTTTTCTAAACATAAAACAATAACTCAAACTGATAAATTAGTCCAAGTTTAAATAATTATAAAACCTAGAGGGATGTCTAAGCTTTATTGACTATATAATAAAGAAGCATATATATTACAATAATAGCATTTTAATAATATTACATTATGCAAATACAAGTATATATACTTTTCACAACAAGCTCAAAATATATGGCAATAAATAATATTAATACACTTTCTATATGATTTTACAAATAAATTATTATACAGATCATCAACACCCACCTTAAAGAAATATCACTGAATAACAAACAACTCTATAATTTCATATGTTTACTATTAATTGATCAACAATATTAATTTTTTTTTTTTTAAACCCTAGGTCAGGCTAGATATGTATGCTTTATTAAACATTTGTATACTGTGCATTTTAAATAATTCGCTAAAGCTAAGACTTTACCTAACTCACTTGTCGAGTTTTGTCTTAATATACCAAAACTCTAAGTGCAACTTCGGGAGTGATTTATCGCTCCGTTAATGGTTCAGATGAATACCCTTCCAATCTTTAACATCATTGCCCGCAGATCACCACTGCAGAGAAGCAACTGTATGTGTTTATAAATATATTATTATTAAAGTATTATTGTTGTAATATATAATATATGTTTTTTTATTATATAGATAATAAAGCTTAGATATTCTTCTAGATTTTGTAAATATTTAAATTTGAATTAATTTATCAATTTAAATTATTGTTTATAAAGTTTTTTTTAATATTTAGAAAGATATTAATCTGTATTAATTTGATTAAAAGCTTTATAAGGTTAATATTGAACTTTTAAAAGCTTATTATAATTCAGTTTTTTTTTTTCTTATTTTAAAAAGTTTATATAATAGAAGTTAATAATTTTGTAATTATTTATCTCTTTTTACACTTTACTTAAGTATTTTTGAGCTTGTTTTTTATAAATTATTGATTGTAAAGGTAGTTTTTCTTTTATTTTTTTTTTAACTAATTTCTTTTTTTTCTTAAAAAATTATTAAAAAAAGAAATTTTTTAAAAAAATAAGAATTAGTAAAAAAATTTTTTTTATTATTTTATTAGATTATTATTATAAAACTTTTTTTTATATATAATATTAATAAGTTATATATTTAATAAATTTTGATTTTGATTTTTTTTTTTTTTAATCCATAACTATATTATATGACTTAATTTTTATTGAAAAGTTATGTAACTATCTATAATATTATAGATTTTTCATATAATAATTATTTCATTCTTATATTGAAGTACTCTAAGTTAGATCTAGAGAACAATATTTCATTCTACTAGAAGATTATTAAATAATCTCTATTTATTAAATTCATTATCAATGGTTTGTTGCTATAGATAGTCTATAAATTATGAATTGTTAAGTTAAAAGAAAAAAGAAAAAAGAAATTAAAAAAGAAAAACAATTATAAGTTCTATTAAAAAAGTTTTCAAAAAAAGCAATTCTCCTTTCAAAAAGGATCTGCTTGATTGAGATAATCTTTTTGTTTCTCTTAAGCCTCAAAATAGATCTTTTTTATTATTACTTATAATATTGAACAAATTAATTCAACTGGTTTTTTATTTAAATAAGTATCAAATTGAAATATCTTAAAAAAAGTATTCAAACCTTAGCTTTTATCCATTAAAGCTTTGTTACTACTTAAGGAACTTAAGTAAGAGACAAGGATTAACAATCTATATTATCTATTTTTAATCTTTTGGTATTATAGATATCTTTCTTAAGGGATTTGAATTTTTGAAAAATAAATATTTCTAAAATATTTTTTCTAATTACCAATGATGTCATCGAGATGTATGACCAATAGGAGCTGGTTTCTATTTCAAAAACTAATATATTTCATGTTATCCAATTACCTTTGATAAGAATTTATGATATCTAAAATTTAAAATTAAATCAAAATAGATAAAATTTCTTAAAAAACTATAAAAATAGAAGCTTTAAGAGGACTTATACAATTATAAAGAGAAAAAATAAGTCTTTCCATTGCAACAAAATCTCTATAATCTCTTATTTAAAAGATTGAAAAGATCTTCAGATATTTTATAATCAGTTTTTCTTCTTTTGAAAACTTTTTTATCATGCGTATCAAAGATATTATTTGATTTTTCTTGATTATCAGAAGTTAAGTTTTTGAATAAAGAGATTTGTAAACAAAAGAGAAAGTGTAAAAATAATTCTTGAAATTATACTTCAAGTTGTTTTAATAAAAGTATTAAGACTTTATTAGTAAAGAAGTAAAAAAAACTTTTTATGAACATCTTTTTTGTGTATAATCAAAAGATTAATAGAAAAAGTTTTTATTTTATATTTAATAAATTTAATATTAAATTATTATTCTTGTTTTTTTTATAGATTTTTCTTAAATTTAAAGTCAATCTTTTTTGTTTTCAAGAAAATTATTAAAAATAAAAAAAATTTTTTTAAAAATTTTAAATTAATAAAAAAATTTTGGTTTTTTTTTTTAATATTTAAAATATTTAAAACCTTTTGTATTTTTTTTTTTTTTTTTTTTTTTTTTAATTCACAATCATGTTATGATGGCTTGTATTTATTGAAAAATTGAAATAAATTTATAATATTTTACAGACTTTCACAAAGTAACTAATTCATCTTTATACAAAAATACTCTAAATCAGATTTTGGGAACAATATTATACTCCTCTAATAGATTGGTAATAACCTCTATCTATCAAGATAATTGTCAATAGTTTGTCACTATTGATTGCCTAAAAACTAATAAATTACTAAGTTAAAAAAGGAAAAGGAGACAATTCAAGGTCCATTAAAAAAATCTAAAAGTAAAACAATCTCTTCTTAAAAGAGATTTGCCTAATTGGAATAGACTTTTTGTTTTACTTAAACCTCAAAAGAAATTTTTTTTTTCATAACCTGCAGCATCAGATGAGTCAATCCAATTGGTCTTTTATTTAAGTGAATACCAAATTGGGATATCTTAAGGAAAGCATTTAAATCTTAACTTTTTTTCATTAAGATTTTATTACTACTTAAGGAACTTAGATAAGAAATAAGAATTTGCAATCCACTTTACCTATCACTTGATCTTTTGGTATTATAGAAGTTTTCATTAAGGGACTTAAACTTTTTGGGACAAATGTTTTCAGAACCTTCTTTTCAATCATCAATAATATCATCAGAACATGTGAATGTAATCAATAAAAGCATGTTTACATTTTAAAAACTAATATGTTTCATGTCAACCAATTACCTTTGATAAGGATTTGTGCTACCTAAAATTCAAGATCAAACTGAAGTAGACAAAATTTCCAGAAAACCATGAAAATAATAGCTTTAAGAGACCTACAAGTAACTGAAAGGGGAAAAATAAGTCCTTCTGTCATCAAAAACCTCTATATATCTCTTGCTTCAAAGGTTAGATAGGTCTTCAAGTATTTCACAGTTAGTTCTTCTTCTTTTGGGAACTTTTTTACCATTGATATCAAAGGTGTTACTTGACTTTTTTTGGTCACTAGAAGTCAAGTTTTTGAGTAAAGAGGTTTGTAAATAAAAAAGAAAGGGTAGAAATGACTCTTGAAATCATATTTCAAGTTATTTTAAAGAAAGTATTAAGACTTTATTAGTAAAGGAATATAAAAACTTCTTGTAAACAATTTTTTTGTGTGTAATCAGAGAATCTTAAAACCTTTTGTATTTAATGATGAGTTTCTAAAATATTTAGCATATAAAATTTCACAGATTACTTATGTCCCTTTTTGAGGAACAAAATTCATAACTCTTTACTTTAATAGGGATAAAAGTCAGAAAATATTATTAATTAATGATTTGGATAATAGAGAACAATTGTAAGTAGTTTTTTTATAGTTATTAATTTAAAAATTTTAATGTTTCCTAGTAAAGAACTATTTGACTTTTGTTTTTGTCTTTTCCCTTTAGAAATCCATCCTTATTTATATTTCAATATTAACATCACATATAAAATATTAAAAATAAAAAAATTTTTATATTAAAAACATTATTTAAAACTTTTTTTACTATTTTTAATAATGTGAAGTTTTATGAATTGTAATTTTTTTTATTTTCAAAAATAAAAAAATATATATGTAATAATATATATATAATTATAGTTAGAAATGATAAATTCTTTATATACACAAAGAAAAAAAAACTTTTTTTATTAATAATTTTCTTAAAAGAAATTAAATTAAACAAAAACATTATTTATTTAATCTAAAAATATTAGTAAAATATAAAATTTTTATAAATACAAAAATTTTTGAAAAGAAAAAAATTAAATATAAAAATCAAATATAATAAGATCAAAAGATTTAGTATTAACTTTCCTAACTTTAAATCAGATTAATGCAAAGTAATATCTTTTTAAAAATCAAAATCAAAATTAATTTTAAAGATTAAAATAAATCTATAAAATAAATATTATTACAGAATATAAAAATTTATATTATATTAATCAAGTAAATTCAGTAAGCACCTTAAAAATTAGAAAAAATTATATTTAAGATATTAATTAAGTGATAATTAAGAAAAAAAATTTTTAATTAATATCTTTAAAAAATAATTGATTGACAAAATACTTAATGATTCATATTTTTCGACCACGAGTCTTAAATAGTATGATTTTTAATATATCAATTATTTTAAAAATAGGATATTAAGTATTGTGTTTGTCAATATTCAAGTTTTATAATGATGAAACATTGCTATTGATTAAATTCTACTGCAACAAAAATTCGGTCAGCACAAAGTTGTATCGGGATTCAATATTTCATAGAGCAGATGGACTCATTCCACCTGATAAGTTCTCTATCGGCCATTTTGGCATGTGATCAATGTTATAATCATCCTTCAAACCGGCACGGAACCTCTCAACTCCAGCCCAAGCGATCATTGCACCGTTATCAGTGCATAGATGAGGAGGTGGGCAGATCAAAGGAAGATTGAATTGCTCGTTTGCCAATCTCTCTAAACTAAGAAACATCGTGATTATGCAAATCTCGGGTCAAAGAAGAAAGTTATAATGTTGCGTGCGTACCTCGCGCGGATACTCTTATTGCTCGCCACTCCGCCACTAACCACCAAAGCGCTCAAGTCAATTTCTCTCGTCCTGCACCAACCAAACGCTAACTCCAATTTCTCGATCAGATGACAGGTTGCAGTTCGCTGAAAGGTTGCCGCCAAATCCTTTCTGACCTTTTCATCTTCCAAATCCAATTGCTCTCTTTCGATTAAATCTTTCATAGACGTTTTCAATCCGCTGAAGCTTAGGTTCATCTCGTGCCTCCTTCTCGGGTCCTTTTTCATCGGTATTGGAACTTTGTATCTATCCGACGTACCATCCAATGCAAATTGTTCTAATGCCGCTCCCGGGCCACCACCTCGGCCTTTTAACCAAGGAATCTTCAGTAATCGAGCAGTCTTATCAAATGCATCGCCTATAGAGTCATCCAGTGTTGTGCCAAGTTGCGTGTGTCTGTTGACTCCGTGCGTGACCAAGATCAGAGTGTGCCCACCAGAAATCAAAAGGGTTAAGTAGGGGAAGGGTATTATTTTGGTGTGCGTTAGGCGGGCCGTTAGAGCGTGCGCTTCCTAACGATTTTCATTTATTCGACGGGCACAGAGGTAAGGAAAAAAATAGAAAAGAAAAAAGACCTTGAAGACTCGCTAGGCATGTTAACTACCCAAACAAAATACATGCCATATGATGAACGCCTATTAACGGTTTCCTAATGAAAACATTCTTCGAGACCTTTCAATATTCACTTGAATAAGACAACCTGTAGGCCATCATGAAAATAATGAATCCTACCGCAATACGGCTGCCAAAGTTTTTGCAGCGCTTAGTCCGATCGCCAAACACGCGGGCAGTCCCGGACCTCTTGTAACCGCAATGACATCGATATCTTTGACAACATCCATATTTCCTTTGAGTAAGGCGTCACACACAACTCCAGGTAGGTGGATCTGATGGCTTTTCATCGCCACGTTAGGGGTGATACCACCCGCTGGTTCGTGAATTTCGTGTTGAAGTTTTATTGACTCGCTTAATATTTCTCGCGAGGAATTCACTATCGCGACTGCCGTGTCATCACACGAAGTCTCTATTCCCAGGACGTTGAATGGACGCGCTAAAACATCGGTACCGTGCGTACGAATTTGAACCTTCGCGGTGGTCTTTGAAAATTGGCGAAGAAAAAACATAAGAAACGTGAACAAAAAATTTTGGTAATCATTTTTAAAGTCACGGGATTGCGGTAAGACTTATTGTTAGATTTAATTTTATTTTATTTTTTACCAATCTGATATTTCGGGGAAAAAAAAAAAAATTTTTTTTTTTTTTTCTCGAGATAAATAATTATGAGTAGGGGTAGTTTTTTGTAAGAACAATAGTAATTTTTTTCTTTTCAAGAGAATAATAATTTGATTTACACATTATAATAGATGCATTAGAAATATTAGATGAATTGTTTCTTAAAGTGAAATAAAAGGACCCACAAAATTTATCATAAAGAAAAAAAAAGGGGGAAATGGTCCGTAGCTTTTTTACATATTAGAAATGGTTTTTGCTGAATCAACATAGGAAGAACAAAACAAAACATAATCTTATCTAACAATCAAGAAAGTTTTTATGAAAAGCAAATAGAAGTATGTGGGATGCAAGACTAAACATATACATATACTCTGTTGTAGAGCGTTCCCATGGCCGTAAGAAAATGAAAGCGCCATGTGAACACCGAAGAAAAAGTTCATATTTTTTTTTTTTGAATAAATACGAGTTCTATGAATATCCACCCGCTCACAATCATAGCCCACAAGGTGCTTCTGCACTTCCTTTCGATCCACAAAGCACTAATGATCAGAGATGAAAAAACCTCAAGTGGCATTGCCGCATTCACCGTGATGATCTTGATATTGCGAACACGCCTACGATTGCAATGGCAAGTGTAAGAAGGGCGCCAGGCAATATCAAATCCTGTGGAATTGGTAGATGATAATCATCATTCTTGTTGCGCCTCCTGCTGTGTTTCTTTCGATCGTGGATCTCCTCTTCATCATCTTCGTCGTCCCTGACCTGTCGTGATTTTGACGACTTCTTTTCATAAATTTCTTGAATGTACAGAATTACGCGCGTCGCATCCTGACGCTGAGCCATTGCTACAGCGTCAATCACATCCTCATCGGATGACATTGCAACATAATCTTCATCTTCATCCACATACGAGATCGCAAAATCTTTAACTGTGGGGGGAAGCTTGGACGCCACGGTTGCACGTATATTTTCAAATTTCGTGTAATCAACAGTGAAACGATGTGATTTTCCATTTGGCGCCTTGAACTTGAAGGTGAAATGATTTTCCTCGTGACCTCTGGGGAAAGATGCCAGAGAGCCGTCATCCATAACCGAGGCGGACTCGCTAGGATGAATCTCGGGAACCGGAGATATATTTCCAGAGTTGTGCATGCGCGAATGTGGTGAAGGTGGAATGTTCGAAGCACTTTGAGACGGCGCTATCGAATCCGAAAGGACAGATTCATTATCACCATCGTTAGCAAAGGAATTCCAAAATTTATTCCACATGGGACCACCGGCTTCATGACCATTCTCTTGGTGTTGCATGTTGTACACCTGCAAAAATGATGATTTCGGTTAATCGGAAAAAGTCTAAGAGCGAAAGAAACACAAACCAGAGATAAAAAATGAATTTATATTCACGTGATATATCATTAAATGTACCTGTTCCATGGTTGCATACGTCAATTTCAGCACGTCGACCATCCCTAAAATGCTGCCACCATCAACTACCGGTAAATTTAGATAGTGACCATCTGCATGAAATAATGATCAAGTAAGTTAGGTAGAAAGATAAGTTACATATATAAATGTTTGTGTTAATTGATGTCTGATCAAATGCTTAGAAAAATTTGGTATGAAATAATTATTTTAGGATATTATCCAGTCACTTTAGTTTTCTCCTACAGGATACCAAGATTCCCGCATTCCAAACCCATATATTATAGGAGAATGTAACATTGAGAGATATAAAAAATTTTTACTCACCGTACATCTTTTTTAATGCTTCTAATATACTTGTGTGAGGAGGTACTGTGTCAGGATGTGGAGTCATAACTCTGACGACACTACATGACGAAGGATCCAAGCCAGCCGCGATTACTCTCAATACAATGTCCTTGCTAGTGAAAATGCCGGCAATCGCGCCATGCTCCATGACCAAGACTGCGGTGGTGTGATACTCTCTCATCAGACGTGCAGCATCCCTCACACTCGTCTTAACTCCTATCTCAGCCGGCATCGAACCGTCTAAAACCGTGGTTAAATCCGGGCATGCCATTTTCTCACGAAGCACATTCAAATATTGGTGAATTGGTGTTGGCTGATTCGACCACTCCCTCTCAACTCCTTCGAGAGCATCATAGAGTTTTTTGGATGATCCGTAGGCACGCTCCATTTTGTCCAATGCCTCATACAGGCATTTAGTTATATCCAGTAGACCGACAACATCACCATCCTCATTACATACGGGCTAAAGTAAAGAATATAAGGTTAAATGATGTGCCAAATTTAGAAAGTCACGAACATTCTCATGATGAACGATAATCGATACGCTTCGGATGAAAATCTTGCACAGAAATGTCGCAAGAGAAAAGGAACTTACAAGATGTCTAAAGCTACGGGCAACCATTGTGTTGAGAGCATCGGTTGCGGAAGTATCACTTTTTACGCACATCGGATTCCTTGTCATGATTGTTGACACAGTAGTTGTTCTTGCGTCTAACCCATCGCCCACCACCCTGAAGGCTAAATCCTTTGCTGTGAAGATGCCAGACAAACGTTCTTCATCATCTATTACGAGCACACAGTCTGCACGTTTTGCTGCCATAAGTTGTGATGCTTCAACGACCAAAGTACTTTCTCTGACAGTGAGCGCCGGAGAAGGTTTCAATGAGGTGACAGTTCCATTCGTGGTCTTTTGTGGTTGTCGTTGTGACGGTCTACGAGTGGCATGATTTCTTTTTGACAGGTCTTGTTCGGCTTTTCTACGAATGGCCTAAAGGTATGAAAGGGAAGAGAGAAAGAGGCAGGGAGTGAGCTAGAAACTTGTACAATAGTTTTCCATCTATTATTCTAAAGGGAGGTCTATTACCTCGTCCTTCTTTGAAATTCTTTGACGAGCTAAATCATTCAAAGAACAACCAACCTCATTATTGTAACTTTGCGAGTAGCGAGTCGGTGACGAGGTTTTCCTGGATCTAAATGTCGATGCAGACATCCTGTCAGCGGGTGGTGATCTATTACAGTAGGCAACGAGTGTTTTCGATTAAAAAAAAAAATATATATATATATATATATATATTTGGAGTTTTTTTTTTTTAGGAAATGGTTCAAGTTTTTTTCTTCTAGTTGATGTGTATTGCTATTTTATTCGTTTAGGAATTTGAACATGATTTGTCACCGTGATGCACATTTCCAAAACCCGACAAATCATCACAACAATTAACGACCTCGTGCTTTCTTACCTCTTTCTGATAATAGAGGGGTTTCCCATTTTTTTAATTTTTTTTTTTTTTTACCCTACGATATAGGAGAAACGCGCTGTTATATAAAGTTGGTTATTTCCTTCCCTGCAAGTTGACATTCGGGCGCATGGGCTGAGGGGGGGAACTTTTAAGATATTTACTTCCTAGAACTTCTACGAAGTTGCAGAGGAATTATTTAGGGTTGCATCTTTTTTCTTCACTGGTATTGTATTACTTTGCATACATATTTCTTCCCGGATGGGACATCGGCTTTCAACGCCAATATGTAATCATAATCAAATATGTGAGTCATAAGTTTAGCGTCAACTATCGGGTGCCAACGGCGGTTTCGAGTTAAATACATAAGATAAGTTAGACAATTAAAAGCTTAGTAGGAACTAAAATCGGTAATAACCGGGGCTGGAATGGTTAACTCCGGTAACACAGTATACATTTTTAAAGCTTTACAGCACATAAATCAATGGACAGTTCCGATTTGTACGAAAACATTCTTCCACGTGCAAAGCAAAATGTCGGCCAGAAGCTATCTTAAATGCGCAGATCGGTGATCCATCAAGCAAGACAATCAACGTTGGTGAGATGAGATGGAAACAAAACAATGTTGCAATAAATTTTATCGTAAAAGATTATTTATTCGCATGTGAGAAGGCTTCGCCGGGAAGTTGCTTAAATTGTAAAGCAAAACAGATGCATGAAACACAGTATATAAGATTGAAAACGCGAGACTCTGGCAAAACCCGTTGTCGTGTGATCTTCCTTTTTGAGTCATCTTGTTATTTTCAAAAATTCTCACAATAACCTGCCTTTATGAACAAAAGCAATAATAATTATGCATGGAATATTAAATATTTAATATTCTCGGTGACACAGAAAACACCGATGTTATTTTGGATGGACGCCTAAACCTAAAAAAGAATGGAGAATCAATAAGGGGATTAGGTGATGATAAATCCTTCGCGGGTGTGATGAAATTTTTGCTGAATTCAAGGGTGCATATGATGAATAATGACTCCATTGTTACCATATTGATCGAAGAAATGATATAAAAAAAATGAATAAATGAATGATATTACAATACAAATTGAAGAAACCCGCAATATTTTAAATTTGTTAAATTAAAAATGTAATGTACAAAAAAAAAATTTTTTTTGAGGCGTCGTGATCTGTTTCTTAAGGATCTATTGGTAAAGACCCGCAAAATAGGTGATCGTGAATCAATCACGATTGCGTCCTAATCAGAAAACATCGTCGTCATCCAACGGGGCGGTATATTAACCCCAAATTGACCAAAAAATTCGTGAATTTCAGCTTCCTTTTCCTTGGCCAAAGTTTCCACCTGCGACATAAATTTTATGTCGGGAAAGTAAGGTTGATTAAAATGAGAAAAGCGAAAATGGTAAAGATAAGGGTAACGCTTCTCAACCCCAAAATAATCTCTGTATAAGCCCATGGGTGATAAATAATATTGTTTTTTGGATGATTTCTCTTTTGGACCCGTGTCGACCGGACTCTCGGGGTTAAGGATGAACGGAATAGACAATTTTGCGACCGGTGTGGTTGGCGTCGTACTAGCGGAACATCGTTCAATCTTGGGTTTTTTATTCGAATTCTCGCGTTCATCGTAATCTTCTTTTAGCTTCCGTTTCCCATTTTGATTCAGCTCTTCGTCATCACCACATGAATTATCTTCAAGTTTCATCTTCATTAATCTTTGAACTTTCGCGTCCCGCCTTCTTAAAATTTCTATCTCAATCTCGTTTAACTTTTCATAATCGTATGATGCGGTGAATTGGTTTCCCACTGCCTTCTTTTGCAAAAGCAATTCCTCGATTTCATCTTCGTATCCGTTTTCATATGGTTCCAGCATTTCCACCAGGGGACAATGAACTCCATCAGGTCTCCGAATGCCGAGTGCACTATCTTCGTCGAAATCTTCCACGACGTTCCGAGTCAAGGAGTCGGGTGAATTCATTAACTTCGCTTCATATGCATTTAAAATGGTGTTTCGCTGCTGCGGTGATAGCGACGAAAGATCATATCCATAGAAGAACACCAGTTCGCGTCTCATTATTGGCGAGATGATGTTCTTTCGACGAGTTATTTAAACTAAGAAAGAAATTCCTCGAGAATTTCGAACAAAAAAAGGAATGCAAAAGATGGTCAAGATTTTTCGTGAACGATGAGTTTAAGTATATATAGTGTTGCTTTTTAATAAAGCGAGTTTGCTAATTAAGTGTTGATTTGCTCGATTCTTCGACCTGGAAAACAATACCGCATGTAAATCATTTATGTTGGTATTTGCTGCATCGCATTGTTAATTAAATTTACGCATTAAAAATACAAGTCCTCAATTTTATTTCTCGATTCGATGTCATGTAAAATTGCTCCTGAGATGCTCACCGTGCCACCCCTCTAATAATCTGACGAGCATCGAATCTTCTATCGTATCATTAAGTGTTAATGAGACACACCAATTGTCACTAGTGATTGTATTGCATTAACGAAGAGATTTAGATATTTCATGCAGCGATTGGCTCTCCCCTGAAAAATCTTTTCTGTATTCGTAATTTCAATTCCCGATTAACAAAAATTTAATTACGTATTATACTCATATCATTTAACACGCGGTGCAAATTTTAGGACAGGGTCTTGTCGAAATATCACGTGATAAACAAAGATAAGTCATTTTAGAATAAAAAAAGAAAACTAATAAACTTATAAATAATCACCAACCAATTTTTGATTTGGGATCAGATTTGGATGAGCCTTTTTTGTAGATCTACGAATAACAAATTTTAATGATAGCAGTATACTGTAAATAAAAAATTAGCTTATCGTAATCGAATTATTAGATTGCGAGATGATCGAGAAAAGCTTTTTAAATAATCATGTACCTTGCAGAACATACTCGAGACGGTTGTAACTTTAATTCTTATTTTATTTAAATAAATATTTGTACTGTATATCAACTTTATTTTAACAAATTATATATACTGTACTTATACTATATTTTTTATTTATTAAAAATTTTTTAACATTTATTTATTATAAATTTTTTTATTTTGTTTTAAAATATAATGTATAGGAGTATATGAGAAATATATTTCTTTAGGAAATAAGTTCACATTTATTAGAAGTTATGTGAGATTCTACATGGGCCAATGATATTCTTAAATACTGTTGGTGTTTAGGCACGAAAATATCAAGCAGCGCGTTCTTTTCGGGAAAGAAACGCGCTCGTCTCCAGATTTGGCAAGTCGGTGTGTAAATGACGCGTAGTTTATAATTTCCACGTTGACATTAACTCGGCATTTCTCCCATTTTCAGCAGACCACGCTTATCAAACCTCTCGACATAATAATACTCTAAGAAATGGCGCGCGGTGGTGCTATCTACAAAGACTTGATCCGGTCTCTTAATTTAGCAAAAGAAGAGTCTCGGATTCAAAAAAAAGTTATTGAAATCTCAGGTCAGATGGACTTAAAGATTGGAAGTGCTGCGTTGAAAAATTGGTCGACCTGCAGACCGATTTACGCTATCCAGATCGCCTGTGAAATGTATGTAATATGATTTTGAAGTTCTTGCCTCGGTTTTGTTTTAAACTAATAGTCGTCCATTTAAAACAAAGGTTACGCGTTCCTTTCGATCGGAAAAGCCTACTAAAGTTGGCGAACACTACAGAACAAGATTACTATTCTTCCCTCTCATACATAAAGAAGACTCTTGGGATTTATTCTTTGATAGATTTTGAATCCCTGGCGTCCAGGTTTGGGTGCCCCAAAATTATTCCATATGCGGAGAGTATGCTAGAAATTTTCAAAGCAGAATGGAGTAAGGAGTTGAGCGCTGCCAGCAAACGAGGAATTGACTGGGATGCTGATATCTACAAAATTGCAGTGTTTTGGTGTTGCTGCAAAAGTGTCGGGGTAAGCAACCAAACTTCGTTTACGAACTTTTTACAATACATTAACATCGATTGAATTTAAGGGGCAAGATCGAGTTAGTCGAGATCAATTGACTAGCTTGCACGATTTTTCCGCTTCTCGCACAGAACTCCAGCGTACCGCGAAGCTTATAGAAAAATATTGCAAAAATTATATTAACAAACTTAAATCCCGAACAAGAAAAGGGGACCTTGTTATTACGTTTATAAAGCCACCTTCAAAACGAAAGCATGAAGACGATAAAACCGAAAATGAGCAACCAGAAAGATATGAAAAAGTCGTCAGGGAGGACACCGATGATAAATTATTGGATGAAAGCGGGATAACGGTACGCGAAGAATATGATAATTTATATTATTGCAAATATACTAAAATTCATCACTCTAAAAATAAGGGAAGTTACATGGATACGGAGTTATATAAAGATTATATTGTGTGGCGTAAGGAAATTTTCGTAAAAATAGAAAATCAGCGCAAAATGACGACAGTCGATTAATTATATTAAGAACTTTGAAAACTCTACCAAGCATTTAGCAATATGGCAAGGCTTAATATATAGCGAATAAAAAAATTTCACGGATATTCTTCCAACTTGTTATCGAAAATAAACTGCTGTATTTTAAGGCATAACTTTAGTAATAATAATATACATACTTTATATTTTTATTCTTTATATTAAATACTTTTGAATATGTACAGATGTATAAAAAGAGAATGAAACAATAAAAGTAAAAGTCAATTTAGAATTTCTTTAAAAAGATTTTTTATCAAGATTATATTATAATGAATAAATAAAAATCAGTTGGTATGTAATATTGAAAAAATTAAATTATAAAAAAATATATTTTTTAGACTAATTTTTTAAAATAAGAAATTATTTTAATTGATTGAAAATAAAGTCACATACTGTAAATTCTATAGCAAAACTTAAATCTTAAATCTATAGCATAAGATATATTGCATTATTAGAAGTTATAAATAAATATTCCATTAAAATTTTCACAATTAAATTACATAATGTATGTAAAATATATAATATTTTAAAAAGTTTTAACTATATAAAATTATTATAAGAAAATACTGCTTGATGAATTCAAATTTTTAATGATATTTATAAAAATATTACAAAAAATAAAAAAAAATTACGCATATTTTTTCAAGATATAATCAAAGCTTATAATATAGTAGATTTAAATATGCTTAAAAAAACAATAAAAAAATAAAAATTTTAAAAAGCTTATTAAAATTTTTATATAATTTTTAAAAATAAAAAATTTAGATTAATTTTTTATAAAATAGAAGCTTAGTTGCATTTATTAATATTGATAAAATAATTTACAAATTTAATTGCACTAGTCGAAATTATGTCATTCGGTAGCTAAATTATTATCAAATTTGATTAAATTTAATAATAAAAATATTGCCAAATTCTTTTCGATTGCTGCTACTCAGCATATTACATTTCGGCAATAAAGTGACAATCAAAAATTCAGCAATCAAAAATTCAGCAATCAAAAAATCAGCAATCAAAAAATCGACAATCAAAAATTCGGCAATCAAAAATTCGGTAATCAAAAATTTAACAATCAAAAAATTCGACAATCAAAAATTTATTAATTAAAAGTTTAACAAAAAATTCATCAAAAATTCAATAACTATTCAACAAAAATTCAT